CACACGCACACACACACATATATATATGTATACTATACATACACACACACACACACACATATATATATATATATATATATATATCTATATCTATATATACATATATGTGTAATCACATATACTCATGTATACGAACTTAAAAATGGAATAATTTAATAATGTAGTTATCTATATATATACTTTCATAAGCTGTATGTGTATTTAATATATGATATTTCTACATGCAGACAAAGCAAGGATACATATTCTCTGTCCTTACACCTACATTGCAGGCAAATTTCAGTGTTATATTTTATTCGTCGGAAGTATACAGCTATTCGCAAGCACTTGACTTGACGTCGTGTGCGAAATAGAAGCCAGCTACAGATGCACAGACCGCGATGAGAGAGAATGAGACGGAGTGGGAGATCTTCGACGCACCACTAAAGTAGACAGGAGCAGTTAGTAGTGCTTGGGGCATACTTCCTTCCCCATCCTGGAACTGTCATGGGTTCATAAAAAATAGCAGAGTTATTATGCGAGCCTGTATACGAAGTGAGTGCTGAACCTTCAGTTTAACACTATTGCCAAGTCTCAACTTTTCGTATTGGTCTGGAAGACCAGTTTGTAGTACCTGATAAAAACATAAAGTGAACAAAAAACACAAATACATGCTATAGATCGTACACATTCGAACTATAATGTATACACACTGAATGCGAATACGAAGGACCGCTACCTTCTGGACGCTGTCAAGACTAGCGGCGTCGTAGATCATCACCTGATGGTTGCCCTTGTGTGCAAGTGGGTAGGGCAATTTCCACGAAACCTTACAAGGGAGAAAGGTTGGAGTATAAGTTTAACAAGCAATTCTTTACAACCTTCTCGAGAACAGACTTTTTGAGAATACGTAGTACACGTGTTCAGATACACGTGACAAAGGAAACGCGAGCTGAAATTTGTATCCGAGTATATCAGCAACAGCGTTTACTTGTATTACAACCAACTCACCAAAATATAGGCGACTCTATCATAAGACGCACGCACGCACTAGGTTCGCAACGTCAGATTGAAAGCGTGACAACGTACAATATATATTGCAGATGGATCCACTCATTTCAGTCCAAGGCAGATTATGCAAATTGTCCACATAGAGCAATCTAGTTCCACATTGTTACATATACTACTTGATACAAATATGCTCATCCGCATCGTTTCCTAGCTAGCAATGTCTTGTATATCTATGAATTTGCTGAACCAACAGCGTTTACTTGTAATACAACCAACGCACCACAAAATAGGCGACTATATCATAAGACGTTCGCAAAGCCAGATTTACATGCATTCGCGGATTGGAAGCGTGACAACACACAAAACATATTTCGGATATATCATGAATTTTAGTACAACGCAGAACTATGCAAATTGTCTACATAGAGCAATATAGTTCCACACTGTTACATATATCCCTTAATACACATGTCCTCGTACGCATCGTTTCCTAGCAATGTCGTGTATATCTATATATTTGCTCAACAAACAGATATAGCTCATACACGTAAAACACATAGATCCGAATATAGAAAACCTAAAAGTACCAACGGATTGTCATTGGGTTGTACTTGGATACAATACCTAAGATATATTCGAAGAAGAAAAACTAGTACGCGCACACTGTGCATATATATATATATATATATACATATTCACAGACATATGCAAACATATATGTGTACATACATATGATATATACATACATATATATATATATATATATACTCTCAAAACACACATTATATATATATACTCTTAAAGGCACACTATATATATATATATAGTGTTAACGAATATATGTTACAATACATTAGGAGCTGTATTATTTATCGATAAACATAAATATCTTTATCTTGAATATGTAAACATAAATTCCATATATCTGTGTATATTTGGACATAGAAATAGACGTTTCTCAGCACAAACAGGAACCTGACTACCGATGAGCCTACGAATCAAATTTAAGGGCGCTGTTTCATATCTAATACCTGCACAATGACAGTGTATGGCTACAACAAACTGTTTCGATTATACAGTATTCTCACTTACCTGATAATTGTCTTCTTCGTACGCGATGGGAACCACAAGATTGTCGACTACGGCAAATAGATCAGCTGACTACAAATACATAAGAGATATGATCTTTCAGATGCCAAGCGAATCCCGAGAATGAGAAAAGATGCTGAAAAAATTCAATTAAATTCAATATATACCATCAACGAGACAACCGAGATGGTACCTGTATATCCAACTTCATGTTCATGGTGAAGACAGCGTATGGGGAGGAGTTCACTTCTTCGGAAGTTGTGTAAGATTCTTGCTCGACAATGGTCAACCCTGCTTTCATGGAGAAACATAGTATCATCAGGGTCGTTCATTTGCTAATTGAAATATATGCGATTTCTATATTGGAACTTCGAATCCGACGTAAATAGATATTTCAGACTGGTTCACAGCTGGAGAAATAGGCGACAAAGAACCTGGCGTCCTTTCCACAAGCAAGTCACTATCCTCGATCCTTTAGTCACCACAAGCAATTTCTTTTATTAAATCTGTTGAGACTTGCATACCTTCAGCGAGCATGGACAAGGATAGAAGCAAGGTGCAGAGTTTGTAAAACATTATGGCTGGTGAAGTGGGAAGCTGAATGCGCGCGTGAGCCGTCAGGTATGTTTATTTAATTTTAGCTATGTTTGTTTACATGCCCCGGACGCGACTATTTATTTTTATAATACAAAAATGTAAAAAGATTTATGTTTTGTATTTTTTCAATTTCATTTTTTAATTCAAAAAAATAAATAAATATATATATACTTTAAACGTTTATATAGGCCAAACGATATATATAATCTTTCTTTAGAACGTTTATATAGGCCAAAAGACTGACAAAAATCGATCGACTTGTTATTGGCAATAAACGGACATCCTAAGAGGAATATAGGAGTACTTTGAACCTCATAGTTCCGATAATGCACCTTAAGCTACAACTATAGGGCCATCACAATATGAACGTTGAACGTAAACATTCACGGTGTACATCGCGCGGGTGTTGCAGTGCTTGTGCCTTGAGATTGTGCTGCTGGCCGGCCTATTGACATAAATACAATATCAAGATATCGCTCCCTTGAAAGTCTACAAACTATTTTTAGGGATCCAACTCTACGATACGTACTGGATAGGCATGCCCGTCGTAGTCGAGCATTGCGTACCCGTCGCCAAACTCGTTGGGCTCGAAGGACATTTGTTTTGATAGACTAATAGCCAACTTAGACCCAATCAGAGCCATCTCGCAGACTTTTGGCTTAGGGGAAGGATGGAATAGCCTACCATCGACACTGAACTCTAGTTTAGTGGGTTGGAATTCGAACTTCAATGTACCGCCGTATATGAGGTAACCAGCGTCGATCTCTGAAAATACTATAGGCGACGTACCGCCGCTTTTGAGAAAGTTGATTTCTTTCCCACATAAAGATACGTACGGGAATGATTCGTACATTCCAGTCGTATTGATCGTCAACCTTTTATAAAAGAAGTTCAAGAAGGCTTTGTCTTTGTACGCGGTGATAAAGTTCTTCACTTTGGTATCCTCCAAGAATAACTGTCCATGCTCATCAACATGGTAGAAATACTGACGTCCATATTTGGGATTCGTAGGACGTGATCCTTGGACATATGTGGCAAATAATCTACGATTACGTACGAGAGCGTTGAAGAACCTCATAATCCGTCAGCGGTATTATGAGGAGATTCTCATATATAGTCTCAGTGAAGCGTAAATACATAATATTTTTAAATTGCAGTCACATATATAGTCTTTCATATTTTACTGAAAAAAATATATAGAACTTTTGATGTGTCACCAAGCAGCAAACAATTTCTGAAATTTTCACGCGGGTGTAAATTGTTTATTTTGGTGTGAAGAAGCGAGCTATACAGTAGACAGTATGTGGGTGTACACATAATATATTTATAAAATACTTATTATAGTTAGTTAGTCGTGATATGCGTATGTAAGGTGTGATACAATATGCGGGCTTTTTTAATTCTAGCGCTACTATGCACAGTCCTGGCACACATAGCAGATGACTACTACGAGATCCTGGGCATCACCTCGCGTGCGAGCCAGGAAGACATCAAGAAGTCATATCGAAAGCTGGCACGTCAATACCATCCTGATAAGAATACAGAAACCGATACATCTGATATGTTTCAGGCGATTGCGGAAGGTAACTTGTATATTATGGCGTATGCATGCGCCGGGTGCTTGCTGTAGTACAAGCTTGTATAGGGACATACTAACCGAGACAAGCAGGCACCTGCACCGATTTTTACTCAAAGTGTAGCAGCCACGAATTAATCCACCTATTTCATTCAATTTTTCATTGCTGATGAGTAGCTTATGAAGTTCTGAGTGATCCGGATAAAAGGTCAACGTATGATCAGTACGGAAAGGAAGGTCTTGAGAACGAAGCAAAGGGCGGAGGTGGCGGGGGCAGCCCATTCAGCTCGTAAGTTTCTATTTCAGTTCAGTTTCCGAATAGGTCTCGAGGCACGTACTATTTTATCCGCTACTTGCTCTATCTATTTATTGGTTGTATCATTCTTAATCGTCGTCGATAATTTCACAAATAGGGTATGGATATTTCCAACAGCATATATGTAGCGGTATTGCCCAGAATTCTAGGGTCATACTACTCGAGCGTTTGCGGCGCTTGGTGCACGTATTGCTGTACAGGTGGCTTTCTTTATCTGATAATTTGTAATGTTGTTTTTTATTGTTGTCGGTGGTTTCTTTTCTTGAATAACGCAAGGATGCTTTCAACAGCGTATAGGATAATGCCCGTTTATGGGTCATTTACCCAAAGCAACACAGGCGTGATCTGTATTTGACCAGGCAACCTTTGATGCAATCCTATACATTCAAACAGATTCTTCTCAAACTTTGGAGGACAACAGCAGAAGCAAGGAAAGCCGAAGGGAACGGAAGCAAATATCTTTTTGGATGTGTCTCTCGAAGATTTATACAACGGCCGAACGTTGCAAGTGGAAGTCGTCAACCAACAGCTGTGTTCACATTGTAGGGGCACGGGGGCGAATAGCAAAGACGATGTACATACATGCACCAAGTGTAAGGGCTCAGGCACACGTGTTGTAAAGCAGCAGATTGCGCCAGGGTTCTACCAGCAGGTTCAAACGCAGTGCAATGCGTGTGGGGGTAAGGGACGAGTGGTGAAGAAGAAGTGCCACAAGTGCCACGGTCGCAAGGTGGAGCTGGGTCAACGCATACTCTCTATCGACGTTGAGCAGGTATTGTGCGACACATTTGGGTGGTGATTCTTATATATTTGTCGGAATGTGCTAGTAGCAACATAGCACCTCTTGTAATGATTCGAAGTTTGAAGTTCGAAGACCACAGCAAAAAAGTCAAAAGGAGTGCGAGAGGCTTTGGAATGCTCAATGAAATTAGAAATTTATACTTGCTTGTCTCTCGGCAGTCTAAATGTACAGTATTCGGATAACAGAATGAGGTTGGGCAAAATTGTTAAATCGAATGTGTGTATGCCAACTATTTGTTATCTGGATGTATTGTACGTAGGCGACTTGAAGGATTATTCCCCTCACTTCGAGTAGAGGATGTATCGATTTTGATGCAGATAGCGGTGGGTGGTATTTCCCCCTGTAAACAGTTGTATGTGATCACTTTACACAGTCCATGGACATGTAATTCGTCCCAATCACTTGCTATTGACGTATATATCACTATTAGTGTTGCAGACACAGTTGTAAGGCGGGCTCAGTCCTGCTGGGCGCTACGAATGCGGCTTGCACCAATTACTTGCTTCATTTTCGACCTGTACGCAAAAATCGCTAAGAATGTTGCTTGTAGAATGTTGTTCGTTAAGTTCTATATTAGAATTGCAGAAGAGCTCGGAAGTGACAGTTGTACGCAGGCCCTCTGCATGGATTCAGCGGACTTTAAACAGCACAAGCTGTCAATAATTGGAAGGCTTCCGTAAACCATACAGCTGCTATATCCATGGTTTTCAATGTTTTGATTAATCCACTCGTCGCAGGGAATGCCCAATGGTGAACGTATAGTGCTCGCTCGTGCGGGAGATGAAGGGCCTGGTATCATCCCAGGGGACATTGTATACACAATTCGCACTGCACCACATCCCATGTTCGTGCGCAGGGGTATTCATCTATATACCAGACTCAGTATTACGCTTGCAGAAGCTCTGCTCGGCTTCGAGAAGAAAATAACACACCTTGACGGGCACGAGGTGACCATTGAACGAGACTCAGTGTCCCAGCCAGGTCAAGTAATAAGCAAAGAGCACGAGGGAATGCCGCAACACAACATGCCGTCTGAGTCTGGTACACTGTACGTTGAAATTCAAGTGGTGATGCCATCCAAACTAAGCGAAGACCAGAAAGCGGCGATCAAGGCCGCCGTCGCATAGACTAACTCCTAATACGGGACATCGCATAAAAATTGCGGTCGACAATTAAATAGCATAAACCCAAACTCGAATGCAACTATTTACTCCACTAAGCTATCAAGTTAATGTATGTATCTTGACATTCCGACGACATAACGATTGAAGGGTGCGTAGGGGTATTCATCTATAAACCAGACTTAGTAATACGCTTGTAGAAGCTCTGCTCGGTTTCAAGAAGGGGAAAAATCCACCTTGACGGGCAAGAGGTGACATTGAACGAGACTCCCCCGTCGGATCAGGAATACAGGTAATAGGGAGAATGCCGTAACACAACATGTCGTTCGAGTTTGGCATTCTGTACGGTGGTGCCATCCAAACTGAATGAAGACCAGAAAGTGGCAAAAAGTGGCGAACTAGGCAGCCTTCGCATAGACGAACTACCAATACGGGGTATCGCATAAAAATTGCGATCGACAAATAATAACGTAAAACCTAAACTCGAATGCAACTATATACACCTTGAGCTATCGTTGTATTATATCTTGACATTCCGGTAACATAACGATAAAAGGGAGATATATGTTGTATTTTATTTTCTAAATTGGGTTGAATCAGCTTTCCATTTCGTCATCCTGTGAGCGATGATAGAGAAAGGGGCGTGTTGTTAATAAAAAGTTGAATACGCGGATCAAAGAAAAACATTTGAATTCAATTTTAGATTTCGAATTGAGAACATGGACAGTGTAGCACATACCACATCTCCGTCTAATTGTAATCCACTCTCGGGTATGATACCGGATTGCAATATTTGTTCTAGTCGACGAATCTCGTCTAATGATTGGGTATTTAAAATTGCCGTCTGCAAAATGGAAACAATACACGGCGTTAGTTTGAGTAGTATTTCAAATAATGAGAGATTTGCCCTGAAATATGCGAATGAACTTGTATAATTCAGATGACCTAAAGCAATCGTACAATCTGCAATGGTTCAGTACTTGCCTTGATTTTTTCTTCTTGTTCAGCTGTAAGACCTTCCACTCTAGCTTCCAACTCCGCCGCATCGACCTTAGCGTCGCCGTCCAGATCCTCCTCATTAGTGTGCTTGACCTGCTGTGCTACGCGCTTCTCTCCCTCTTCACCTCCAAATATTTGTTTGGACAGTTCCCTCTCCTACATTATTCAACCCGTGATTATGCCCGACAGAGAAATTTGAGTATGATGGAAACAACGGACTCCAAAGTCATAGGATAGGTAAAATGTCGTCCACAGCAAGTTACCTTATCTTTGATCTTCTTATAATCCAGCATGATCAATTGCGGAATTTTGAAAATCATATACGACCTGTAGTTTTTTTTTGCCGTGATAGGGTTCCGCATTAAACTCAGTCGACGAAGATTCTCCATTTTGGCGATACTGTATTTAACAAATACATAGTAAAAAGTGTCAGATGGAACGTCAGACAATTTCAAAATAAAAATTTGGCGCAACAAAATAAAAAGGAGTGATTCTGAATTAAATATGAGCGCGTTTGACATTGTAAATCTACAGATAGTGGACAATCGAGAGCATATCACTTTGCGGAAAGATCAGTAGACTAAAAGAAAGAAGAAAGGACATCTCCACAGTTGGAGAAACCAAGCGCCTAGTCAACTACGGAATGAGATTCTCATGGTACCGGATTGAGTAAAATATATATCAAATACAAGTTGTATTCTGATAGATTGAAAAGTTGGCTTCGATACCAACGAGCTAGCAGGATTACGAACACACGCATGTACGTTTGTCCGACTGTTACGCACAATCGTTCATGAATAAATGTTAAGGTGTATATAACCTGAGGATCATTAAGCGTACAATATATCTTACGTATTTGAGTTCTGTTTCCGAGATAAATATCCGATAGGATAGTATACGCACGAATGTTAGCATGATATAAACAAATGATATGACGCGTGGAATTGAGAGACACAAATCCAATCGAAAACACGAAACAAGACGGGAAATAAGATTTTGGGTGTAAATGCATGCCTGGTAAATATATATATATACATATATATATATATATATACATATATATATATATACATATATATATACATATATATATATATACATATATATATATATATACTATATATATATATATATACACACACACACACACACA